AATCATAGAATATCAGGGTTGGAAGGGATCTCAGGAGGTCATCTAGTCCAACCCCCTGCTCAAAGCAGGACCAATCCCCAATTAAATCATCCCAGCCAGGGCTTTGTCAAGCCTGACCTTAAAAACTTCTAAGGAAGGAGATTCTACCACCTCCCTAGGTAACGCATTCCAGTGTTTCACCACCCTCCTAGTGAAAAAGTTTTTCCTAATATCCAACCTAAACCTCCCCCACTGCAACTTGAGACAATTACTCCTTGTCCTGTACTCTTCTACCACTGAGAATAGTCTAGAACCATCCTCTCTGGAACCACCTCTCAGGTAGTTGAAAGCAGCTATCAAATCCCCCCTCATTCTTCTCTTCTGCAGACTAAACAATCCCCGTTCCCTCAGCCTCTCCTCATAAGTCATGTGTTCTAGACCCCTAATCATTTTTGTTGCCCTTCGCTGGACTCTCTCCAATTTTTTCACATCCTTCTTGTAGTGTGGGGCCCAAAACTGGACACAGTACTCCAGATGAGGCCTCACCAATGTCGAATAGAGGGGGATGATCAGCGTCCCTCGATCTGCTCGCTATGCCCCTACTTATACATCCCAAAATGCCATTGGCCTTCTTGGCAACAAGGGCACACTGTTGACTCCTTTCCAGCTTCTCGTCCACTGTCACCCCTAGGTCCTTTTCCACAGAACTGCTGCCTAGCCATTCGGTCCCTAGTCTGTAGCTGTGCATTGGGTTCTTCCGTCCTAAGTGCAGGACCCTGCACTTATCCTTATTGAACCTCATCAGATTTCTTTTGGCCCAATCCTCCAATTTGTCTAGGTCCCTCTGTATCCTATCCCTGCCCTCCAGCGTATCTACCACTCCTCCCAGTTTAGTATCATCCGCAAATTTGCTGAGAGTGCAATCCACACCATCCTCCAGATCATTTATGAAGATATTGAACAAAACCGGCCCCAGGACTGACCCCTGGGGCACTCCACTTGACACCAGCTGCCAACTAGACATGGAGCCATTGATCACTACCCGTTGAGCCCGACAATGTAGCCAACTTTCTACCCACCTTGTAGTGCATTCATCCAGCCCATACTTCTTTAACTTGCTGGCAAGAATACTGTGGGAAATGAAGCATTTAAAAAAAAAAGGCATTAAAGATAGTCTGGTAAACTTGTTCTTTCTGACCCCCAATATTGCTTATTGCTCAAAATTACATTATGTTCAGCAGTGTGCCGTTCTTGCCAAGAAGGCTAACAGCATATTGGGCTGTATTTGTAGGAGCGTTGCCAGCAGATCGAGGGAAGTGATTATTCCCCTCTATTCGGCACTGGTGAGGCCACACCTGGAGTATGGCATCCAGTTTTGGGCCCCCCACTACAGAAGGGATGTGGACAAATTGGAGAGAGTGCAGCGGAGGGCAACGAAAACGATTAGGGGGCTGGGGCACGTGGCTTGCGGGGAGAGGCTGAGGGAGCTCCAGTGGCGCAATGTGTTAGTGCACAGTGCTGACAGAGCAGTGCTGTGTGGAGTATTGCTGAAGCTGTGAGTTCAGACCTCACCTGGAGCACTGGTTTTCTTTAATCTCGGGGGAGGGAGAGCTCAGTGGTTTGAACATTGGCCTGCGAAACCCAGGGTTGTGAGTTCAATCCTTGAGGGGGCCATTTAGGGATCTGGGGCAAAAATTGGGGATTGGTCCTGCTTTGAGCAGGGGGTTGGACTAGATGACCTCCTGAGGTCCCTTCCAACCCTGATATTCTATGAACTGGGGTTATTTAGTCTGCAGAAGAGAAGAGTGAGGGGGGATTTGATAGCAGCTTTCAATTACCTGAAGGGGGGTTCCAAAGCGGATGGAGCTCTGCTGTTCTCAGTGGTGGCAGATGACAGAACAAGAAGCAATGGTCTCAAGTTGCAGTGTGGGAGATCTAGGTTGGATATTAGGAAACACTGTTTCACTAGGAGGGTGGTGAAGCAGTGGAATGGGTTCCCTAGGGAGGTGGTGGTATTTCCATCCTTAGAGGTTTTTAAGGCCCGGTTTGACAAAGCCTTGGCTGGGATGATTTATTTGGTGTTGGTCCTGCTTTGAGCAGGGGGTTGGACTAGATGACCTCCTGAGGTCTCTTCCAACCCTAATATTCTGTGATTCTATGATCTGTAGTGATATTTTTCTCCTTAATATTTGTTCCATTTTACAAGGGATAGGAAGTGGATTTATCAAACAGTTATTGCCAAGATTTCTCTCCTTTGTTTGGAGATGTACTTTTCTCCAGTCTTCTAGTGCTCCCTCGCTAGTGCTTTCCATGACTGTTTCTCACTTCGTCCCTACTGGTGCATGTTGATACTTCTTCCAGTCAGACTCTGCAGTGATTTTTACACAATGACACCTTAAGTTATAGGCATAATTGGGAATAATGTATATTTTCCATTTTAAAGGAAGAATAAAATAAAAAGTGTTACTGTAATCTGATGTTCCACTGCTATAGCCAAGCACCACCCTTTTTATTTAACACCTGTGTTGCAGCAGTGAATAAGGAACTCAACCAGGTCAGGACCCTGTTGTGGCAGTTGCTGTACAAACATACAGTAAATGAATGACAGTCCCTGCCCCAACAAATTTACAATCTAAAAGACAAGGCCTAAAAGGCGAATGAGAAAACAGTACTGCGCAGAATCCTCTGTCTTGCATAATTTTGTATTTTCCCACATAAAATAAATTTTGCCTAAGTGCTGCAGTTCCTCCTTTTGCTCACCAGAGGCTGCTGTGGTGCCAGAATAGCCAGCTGCAGGAACACAGCCAGCTGTTCTGGCACCACAGCGGCCTCTGGTGGGAAAAAGGTGAAACTGCAGCACTTCTGGGCAGAATGTATTTTCTATGCCCAGCACTGCAGAATTCCCCCAGGAATTCATCACAGCACCCTGCCCGCAGAGCCAGGTTAGGACACACAGTGGGGCACACAGGGCTGCTGAGGAGTCACAGGTGGGTTCAGAATGGCTGGGGGGTGTGACAGACCGGGGCATAGGCTCAGGAGCTAGTGTGGTTACAGCGCTGAGTCGGGGGGGTTGGGGGGGAGGGGCTGCAGAGACCCATGGGGATAGGGTCTATGGGGACGGGCAGATGTGCCTGACTGAATGAGAGAGGCTTGGAGTCAGCCAGGGTCTGCATGAGGGCGGCTTCCCAACTCCCTAAGAATCTCCCCCCCAAGGCCCCCCCCCCCATAGCACCAACACCCTCTAGGTTCACTCCTAGGCTCCTTCCCTCTCCCTCAACTTCTCCATTACCCCTGACTCCCCCAAGCCTTTGCACTGCTTCCTGACAGGCGCAGGAAATACAGTTCTGTATTGTAATGTAAATGCATTACTCAAAGTTCTATATTAATATGCCTAGTAAGGAATCTATTTATTTGTTTAAAAAAATTACCAGAATCTTTTTTTTTCTGTATTGTTACAGACATATTTGCTGACGGATATTGAACTATATTACCAAAATAATTGAAACTGGCATGATTATATTGTGCTATTTTAACAAATAAAATATGTGGAATTTTGCAGAAATTTCAAATACTGAATTTTAATTTTTTTGGTGCAGACTTCCCCCTGGAGTAAAACAGGCAGATTAGGGTAGCATATGATAGGATATGTGAAATTGTTAGCCAGTCACTATTAGTGATCACACACTGGCCACTCTGCTTATATGCTGTTTTTATCCTCCGTCTTCAGTCTAATGTCACACTGAGATATTTTGGGATGGGATGGGATTGTCTCTTATCTTCTAGCCACAGAAGTCTATGCATGTTCAGTTCTGCTTAGGCCTTTCAATTGTTTAGACGGAATGCTGACACAATAGTTCCGGTAGAGTTTGGTTTTAGCTGCCAGGATAAGAAATATTCTTCCATAGTTTTAAGGTTCTTGGTTAGGCTGTATTCTATGATAGACAGATTCTCTGCCTGTGCACTCAAAACAATGTCATCAACAATGCATAGACACATTTCTATGATGAAGTCTGGGGAAGGTTGCTTGTGTGAAATATTAAACAGGATCGGCGCTAGGACAGGTCCCTGTGATAAGCAATCATTCAGAGTGTGTGGCCTGCTGACCTCATTATCAAGGAAAATGCAAAACCTATGATTGATTATAGTGAAAGTTTCTTACAGATTTTTACTTAAAGCAGGACTAAAATATCTGCTTTGCAATTTAAATGTTGCATTTCTTCTCAAATTTGACACAGTTTTACAGAGAGCAATGGAATATTGTGTATTGTTTTAGAAAAAGGTTTTGTAACTTTTGCAAAGGAAATACTTTAAAAATGCTCCTTTTTAAATTTTGCTGTTTTATTCACGTTTTTTTGGATTCCTCTATTGTAAAACATAAATTTACACAAGCTTAAGATTTCACCAAGTAACTCATCTTTACAATATCTCAGGCACAGGCTAAGGTATGGAACCTGAAATATTAAAGTTATAAAACAATTGCTATAATTTACTGTAAGCAAAGGAACCTATAGGTCATGAGAAGTGTTATTGATGCCACGCTCTGGTACAGATCATGAGACTGCTGAGAGTGTCCTTTTTGGGGATAGGGGTGTGATGTTATCTGATTAAAATATGACCATATAGATCATTGTTGCAACCACTGTTATATATTTGCAGCAAATCTTGTACAAAGGTTGTCAAGTGAGGTGTCTATGAAAAGGTTATGATTTTGCTGTGTGTATGCATGTATCATTTTTGTATTTGAAGTTATAAGTATTGGCCCTCAACCTGGATTTCAAATGTTTGCTTCTGGGGTACCACCCACAAGGTAGCTAGCCAGCACATGTTGGAGGGACTATTCAAATTAAGTGGCTCATGAAGAAACACTTGGTTGACAATGGACCATGGGAGACGCCCATCTACGCTGTGTCATGTTAAACGTTCTGTCTGGGGTGTAGGTAATGGCTTCCTGCAATGACTGAGTGAAATTGGGCATGAACATGTGACTCCAAACTCCATCTTGTTGCTGTAATTTTCCACAGTAAGAACAATGGGATGCCCTCCACATGGCAGAAGCTGTAAAAGGCCCTGGAAACACTTCCATTTTGTCTTCAATCCTGCTTCTTACCTCTGGAAGAACTTTGCTACAAACTGAAGCTCTGAACAAAGGACTGAATGACCCATCCAAGCTGTGGATGTATTCCAGAGACTTGACTTAAGCCAGCAGTTTATTCCATCACTGCTACAAGCCTGAACCAAGAACTTTGCAATTACTGTATGTATTTGACTCTTTTAACCAATTTTCTCTTTCTTTCTCTTTCTTTCTCTCTTTCTTTCTCTCTCTCTCCCCTCCCTCCCTCAGAGTTTACATACTAAAGGATTGGCATTAACGTGATTATTGGGTAAGATCTAAGGTATATATTGACCTGGGTTGGGGGCTGCTCCTTTGGGATCAGAAGAACCTTTCATTTGATGAGACTGATTGTAAAGAACCACTCATCTCTGAATCCAGTGTTTTTCGTGGTTATATAAGAACTGGAATGCCCAAGGAAACTGCTTTTATGACTTCTTGTTAGCCAGTGTGGTGAAATAGGAGTTTACTTTTGTGGCTGGTTTCGTATATATCATAAAAGAATAACCACCAGTTTTCGGTTGTGTTTGCCCTATTTCTCAGTAGTTTGTCCTGAATTTGGCATCCTTAGTTGTGACCCACTAAGGCACGGTTACAGGAGGAGGAACCAGGAATGTGGGGGAGCAGGAGGGCTTACCAGAAGTATGGAGTAGGCATTGCGGGCAGGGAGGCGTGAGCAGCCATCTTGGTGGTGGGTGAATGGGGAAGGGAAGGGGAGTGTTAACCCTTTCCTTCCTTCTCTACCTGACCTGCTGTAGTTTGCTGGAAGTGGGAGGGTTACTTCGCTTTAAGTCGTAGCAGGAATGCTGCAATGGTTCTCTTTCTCCACAGCCTGATGAATAACTGGTCCGTGCAAGTCTGCCATCCCTAGGGATCAGTCTGCAGCTGCAGATACTGCTGGTGTTTGGGGAAAGAGCAAGTGCAGCAGGAGGAAGTAGGGGCAGGGCAGCACTAGAAATGTCTTGCCGTCTCTGCCTGATGAACCCGTGCCTCAAGTGAACCCAAGCCATTGCAAATCCATCAGGTGAAGAAGGCAAAGACGAGCTACTTTTCCCTTATTTTGTCTTCCTGCTTGCACCCCACCAGAATCTCCTTGCTCCCATGTCTCGCTCATTCTTACTTGTCCCCCACAGCCCAATTTGCTCATCTCCCATGCCCTCTCCATGGCTCTAACTCTTTGATACCCCATAGCCTCATATCACTTCTTGCTCTCCCAAAACCCTGCACCCTTCTGTCCCCATAAGTCCCATAACTCTTCTCACCCAGTAGCTATATTGATGATCCTCTGCTGCCCCTCTCTCGAGCATGACCATCACTGCCAGCACTCTTCCCTGCCCCAATCCTTGCTGTCATCTCTTGCTTCCCAATATTCCTTATACTACTTCTTCCAGCACTAGCTCCCACTTCTTAGAATCACAGGGAGACTCCCACACAAAAACTTTAGAGCTGTTTGCTCAAGTGCGTTTCTTATCTATGCAGTCACTAGAAATAATTAAACTCCTTGGTGAAGGCTACATTAACATCCAGAACAAGTTCAGCTCACATGCCTTGTCATCCCTATACACGTGGACTCTTTACCGTAGTAGACTTCCTTTTGCTTCTCACAATGCACATGTCCAATTCCTCTAAATCACACTCAAACGTACAAGTTTTCATAGATTCCAAAGCATTATCTAGTCTGACCTCCTGCATAACACAGGCCATAGAACACCCCCAAAATAATTCCTTTTGAACTAGACTATATTTAAAAAAAAAAATCTTGATTTTAAAAATGTAAGTGACGGAGAGTCCACCACAACCCTTGGTAAATTGTTCATTAGTCAATTACCTTCATAGTTAAAAATTTACGCCTTTTTTCTTGTCTCAATTTGTCTAGCTTCAACTTCTAAAGCGATTGGATCATGTTAGACCTTTCTCTACGAGAGGTCATTATCAAATATTTGTTCCCCATGTAAGTGCTTAAAGACTGTGATCTAGTCACCTTTTAACCTTCTTTGTTAGACACAAGGAGCTCAATCTATGTAGCTTATCACTGTAAGGCAGGTTTTTCAATCCTTTAATCATTCTCCTTTCTTTTTTATGAACACACTTCAATTTATCAACATCATTCTTGAATTGTGGACACCAGAACGGGACATAATATTCCAGCAGCGGTCGCATCCGTGCCAAATAAAGAGGTAAAAACCTCTCCGTTCCTACCTGAGGTACCTCTGTTTATGCATCCAACGATTGCATTTGCTCATTTGGCCACAGCTTTCCTTTTGGAACTCATGTTCAGCTGATTATCCACCTCTCATTCCCCCCAAACACTTTTTCAGAATTCCTACTGCTTCTGCAAGTGCTGCTGGTGGTGGTGCGGACTGACTGCCTCTCCACTTCCTTTTCAGTGCCACATGGTCTGAAACAGAACCCTTCTGTTCCTGGAGCTGATCGACCTACATCAAACCTGTAAATATTATAAACTGTAAATATTGTGTATAAAATTTCTTATTGTATTAGACAGATATCAGGGACATGCCTCCGGAGCCCCCCACTTCCTGGTATGGGAGTCCAATTATGCCTGGGATTCTGGGCTTCAAGAACTGCCTCTCCTGTCCCTGTTCTTTTCCGGTCAGCAAAGAGCACTGCAGGTTCCTTTACTGCCTTGGGAGAGAAGGTCATATCTCCGCTAAGTGCAGTATCGGTCACTTCTTTCTGACTTGAACCCATCAAGCCCAGGAGTTCAGACTTAAGAAACACCTCATGAAGCAGGCTATGAGGCCCCTGTTGGATCTGGGCTGGGGAGACCCCACCTGTACAGTGGGCTTGAGGCATCAAGGACAGCAATGCCAAGTATTACACACCAGACACAGGTGCAGGCAAAGGTAGAGCCAAGGGCTCCTTTTCTCAGACTTCATGCTAAGGCAAGAAACCCTCTCTATACCTGAGAGAAAATTCCCCCTCCAGATCCACTTCTAAGAGGAGGGCTGATTCACTTATACTGTTGAGGTTGGGTGACTCTCAGAGGCTCGAAAACCCATTGATGTCGTGGTACTGGCCCACAGGCTGAAAAGACTGATTGCCTCCACTTTGGCATCATAGGTGGCAGTGGGACTGTTACACCTGGGGTTATTTGAACCCAAAACTATAGTAACTAATTCTTGCTTTCCAGGTGGTGGCAGGAAATAAATCTGTGGGGACACAGCTCCTCTGTCCAATAAATGATTGGTACAAGAGTGCTTCCACTTAGTTTTAAGCACACACACACACACACACACACACATGCAACAGCAATAGTCTAGAGCACCCCAGATATAGTTACCCGAAGTCTGAGGTGGTGTCGAGTGGGCAACAGGAGGTTTTTGGTGATCAGCCATCCCTCCAGTTGCTGGGGAGTAAGATGTCAGTCTGCTAGCTCTTAGAAATCCTCCTCAATCTGCTTCAAATTGGACATTTTCAACCTCTAATAAGCTAACAATTTTCCTAGCAACAGCAAAAACCTCATAATGCTACTTATCAGCAAAGCAACTCCAAGTCATAACAGAAAGAGACACAGATCCAAACTCAGTTATCCACATGTTTTAATTTTAATAAATCCATACACCGCTGCAGCTGTGCAGCTATTTGTATGGTTTACTTAGGCAAAGGCCAAATTATTTCTAACTATATGGTATTTTCATTTTCAACTATTAGTGGTGGAGTACACAAAATGGCTACAGTTATGTCAACTCCAGCTTATGTCATGTCCAGTTCTCTTGTAACAGGCCCATTAGTACTGAGTAAAAAGAAGCATGAGCCTAGACTGGCAAAAGACAGATGACCATCCCATACACAGTCGTCACTGGCACACACTTTGAGCTGACGCCAAAGGTTCACAGGGAGAAGACTCACGGTGGCAAATACAGTGCTTTGGGGGACAAAGTCCTGCACTTAGGATGGAAGAATCCAATGCACCACTACAGACTAGGGATCGAATGGCTAGGTAGCAGTTCTGCAGAAAAGGACCTAGGGGTTACAGTGGACGAGAAGCTGGAAAGGAGTCAACAGTGTGCCTTTGTTGCCAAGAAGCCCAGTGGCATTTTGGGATGTATAAGTAGGGGCATTGCCAGCCGATTGAGGGATGTGATCGTTCCCCTCTATTCGACATTGGTGAGGCCTCATCTGGAGTACTGTGTCCAGTTTTGGGCCCCACACTACAAGAAGGATGTGGAAAAATTGGAAAGAGTCCAGCGGAGGGCAACAAAAATGATTAGGGGACTGGAACACATGAGTTATGAGGAGAGGCTGAGGGAACTGGGGATGTTTAGTCTACGGAAGAGAAGAATGGGGGGGGGGGGTTGATAGCTGCTTTCAACTACCTGAAAGGGGATTCCAAAGAGGATGGCTCTAGACTGTTCTCAGTGGTAGCAGATGACAGAACAAGGAGTAATGGTCTCAAGTTGCAGTGGGGGAGGTTTAGGTTGGATATTAGGAAAAACTTTTCCACTGGGAGGGTGGTGAAACACTGGAATGCGTTACCTAGGGAAGTGGTGGACTCTCCTTCCTTAGAAGTTTTTAAGGTCAGGCTTGACAAAGCCCTGGCTGGGATGATTTAATTGGGGATTGGTCTTGCTTTGAGCAGGGGGTTGGACTAGATGACCTCCTGAGGTCCCGTCCAACCCTGATATTCTATGATTCTATGATAACCATCCTGCTGGATCCAGAATCTCCCATCCTATCAGAATTGATTCTTACAAGGGAGATCATGACACCATTGGTCCACAAATATTATGAAAGAAGCCAGTCTCCTGTTCCCTCTGCTACTTGGGATATTTCCTCATCCACAGTTCTAACATCACCACCTTTGGAGATGGAACCTACATTTTTTCTTCAAGTGCTTGCTCATGTCCATTCAACTAGGTGTGTGTGCTCGCCACACGTACCAGTGCCGGAAGGTTTTCCCTCAGCAATATCCGTAGGGGACCAGCTCCAGCGCCCCCGGGAGTGGCGCACATATGCCACGGTATATAGGGAGCTGCCAGTTCCCCCCATTCTCAGTTCTTCTTTGAGTGATTGCTCATGTGCATTCCACAGTAGGTGTGCGTGCTTGCCACATGCACCGGTGCCGGAAGTTTTCCCCCTAGCAGTACCTGTAGGGGAGCGCCCCTAGCAATCCCTGGAGTGGC